TTGGGTATAATGGAGGGAGTGGCATCTGACAAGAAACAGTCTGTCTTATCTTTGTATTTTCATTTCTGGAGGGCGGTAAGATTGGTGTTTTTCATTCAATACAGTGGCTGCACTTTAAGTCATTGCTGTCCCAGCTCGCAATTTCAGCTCCACAGCTCCCAACAGCAGTTCAGTCTCACTGGCTGCAGCCAGGTGGGAATTCTATTCCCTCAGGCCTGGATCTATCACTGCCACTAAAGGAAACTTCATCTAAATCTCTATCCTTCTACAGAACTCAGGATTCAAAGGTTGAGATGAAACCCTCCTAGGTCAGAGAGACTGAATAACAAATAGCTAGCCATCTCTCCTTGTTCATGTCTCCCTCAAAAAGGGGCATCCTCCTTCTCAGCCCCCACTAAAGACCCTAGATACACTTAGTTCCTCCATCCCAGTTCCTGTCAGCTAGTTGCTGACTCAACCTCCTGACCCCAGGTTAATCCAACAAATGCAACATATCTTTGCATCTTTAACAAAAGTAGCAGAAACAAACATAACACACCTTTACACAGTTAAAATAATATTCCACAACATAAGGCAAGTCAGGTACCACCCGTTCCGAGATAGGCACCCCTTGGTACCATGTGCTGGAGAAAAGTGCAAAAGGAAGGTAGAGATGCAGAAGCTTTCAATTCTGTTTTCAGTTATGTGTGGGCCCAAGCAAGGAGTCAGAGCATTTTAACAAAAGTATCTTCTAGATACTCCTTGTATAACCTTGGTAGATTTCAGAGAAGAGTATGGTAGCTGCATGCTGCATGGTAGCTAGGCTTGGAAAGGAGTCAACACGAATTAGCCTTCAGCAATGAACTTTATTAGGAGAAAGAACCTCATATCATCAGGTTTGACAGCAGGTGCCTTTACCCACTGCACCATCTTGATGGTCCTAGAGATTATTGTCAGATTTAGAAAGATAAGCATCACATTTTTCTTTGTTTTTGAATCCTATATTTTATATAGATACATAAAACCATGTATACTTATACGACACAAAAGTAGAAGGGAAACTGGAAGGAAACACAAGGAACTAATGGGAGGGCAGAGAAAAGAAATGTTAGGGAAAAAATCAGCCCAGTGTCACACAAAGAACCACATGAATAAAGTGAAAGTTGGCAAGGCAATTCTTTTTGAAGAAAGGGTGTGCCAGAATACACAGCAACCTAACAAGCACACTTGGCCAAGATGGTTTTTTGTCTTTTATCCCTAACTTAGGTGGTGAGTGAGTCTCATACCATTGAGGGAAGCTTGGCTTCACAATCTGATGTAACTGGCCAACTGACGCAAGGGGAAAGGGGGAGGATCCGGAAATATGTATTCCAGTAGGACTGTCTTTGTTATACAACAACAGTTCCTTACAGGGAAGACTAAAGGGGTATGGGGTGGGAATATGGTCAAAATACATGAACCCCAATATTGTGTACATTGATTATACGTTAATAAAAAGGTGACTTGTTGAATGAACAATTTAGAGCAACTTTGTAAGTGTTCCCACCTTGGTTTGTTAGTTTATATCAATTTCACACAAACTAAGACACCTGCAAAGAACTCAACTGAGGAATTCCTTCCATCAGACTGGCCTGTGGGCATGTCTATAAGGCATTTTCTTGTTAATTGATTGATGTAAGAGGTCCCACCCCACTGGAAGTAGTGTCAACCTTGGGCAGGTGTTACTGGTTTGTATAAACAAGCTGAGCAAACTGTGAAAAGCAAGTCAGTAAACAGCATTCCTCCAGTAATCTCTGCTTCAATTCCTGCCTCCAGGTTTCTGCCTTGGCTTCTGTGGTTGGTTGAAAGAAAATAGCCCCCCTAGAGAGTGGCATATTAGGAGGTGTGGCTTTGTTGAAGTGTGACCTTGTTGGAGAAAATGTGTCAAGGTGGGCATGGGTTTTCAGGTCTCATAGATGCTCAAGCCACACTCAGTGTCTCAGTTCACTTCCTGTTGCCTTTGGATCAAGATTATTAACTCTCGGTTCCTTCTCTAGCACCATGTGTGCCTGGATGCTACCATGTCCCACCATGATGATAATGGGCTAAACCTTTGAACTGGAAGCCACACCAATGGAATGTTTCCCTTTATAAGAGTTGCGGTGGTCGTGGTGTCTCTTCACAGCAATAGAAACACTAAGACAAGGGTGCACAGTATTTCCCCAGACTGTGATAGCTCCTATCAATGCTCTTGATGGTCAAGACACAAGCATAACCTCAGTGATGGACCATAACCTGTAAGTCAAATAAATAAACGCTTTCCTCCCAAAGTTGTTTTTGATCAGTGTTTTATCACAATGACAGGAGGCAAACTAGGACAACAACACTTAATCACTCAGGTATTCGTTCTGTTCTTTGCTAGATTCCAAGTTCATTAGCCTGCACACACACACACACACACACACACACACACACACACACACAAATTATGTGGCAACAACCAAGGGTTGTTTCTTAAGTGTCCTTCCTCTGTTCCTACTTACTGTCTCATTAGCCACAGCAAAAGCACTCAGTTGTTAAGTGACTTGAGAAATCAGGATCATTAAAATTGAAAATGTCCATTTAAGCCAGCCTACCCCTTTGTGATGCTAAAGTGTCCCTTTTGTGAGTACATTCTTTTCTCTCAGCTAGGCCAATTGCAGCTTTTAACCTGGGCTTTTCATTCAGAGCCTCTAGTAATCTTATTGCTATAATTTTCACAAGAGGAACACTAAAGCAATTTAATATTATTTTTTTAACCACAAAGATTTGTTTCCATTTTGCATGTATTGGGTAGCTAAGATTTCTGTAGCATCTTATAAAATAATGATGTGGCACCTTACAGCATTAAAAACAAAATGCTTAAAAGGCAAAAAACAAGAACTACCAAAAAGGTAAGAGGTTAAAATATTTAAATTAGTATGTGAGGAATTGGAGAAATGGCTCAGCAGTTAAAGAACACTTGCTGTGATAAACCAGCCTGCCTCCATCTTAGGCTTAAAAGCCATCTTACAGTAAAGTTCATTCCTGTTTATGATTAAATCTCTGTTTCTCAAGAATTGGGCTATGCCCCACCTGTAACCTTAACTACAAATGGTTCTGTACTGCCTGTTCCAGGAATGGCAACCATGCCTTTGCTTCAAAAAGTTAATAACTATCTTGCAACCCTACCTGTATTTCAAATGAGTTGTTATGACTACCTTGTTATGGCTACCTGTTGTTATGACTACCTTGTTACGCCTACCTTGCAATGATGTCTTTAATTCAAGTGTCCATTAGGACTAACTTGTTATACTCATGTTCTGCTCATAAATTTTTCCCCACCAAGTCCTCCATTTAGAAACTCCCTACCCCAAAACTATAAAAAACCTTGTCTTCCTGATGCCCAAGGAATCCTGTCTTAGGGTGAGGCAGAATATATACACAAATAAAAAGGTTTGCTTTAATTAACTGCTTGTTTTAATTAATTTGGCCATGATCATTTTGGCCAGTGGTCTTCCTCATCATATTTGGATTAACAGTTGCTCTTACAGAGGACTTGGATTCAGATCCCAGCATCTGTATGGTGGGTCTTGAACACCCTGGCAACCAAATGCACATGGTACACATATATACATGCAGGCATAACACTTGCACAAATAAAATAAAAATAAAGTCTAAACTAAAATTTAAAATAAAAGTTAGCATATAAATACTTTAATATGAATAACTAAGATATCTGAAATTCCCAGAGAAAGCTACAGCTATAATGAACATTCCACAAGGCTGAACTTCAATAGTTGTGAAGAAACTGGAATGTTGCAGGTCAACAGCCAAATTATCTTGGGATATTTTAGACCTCTAAATAGTCACACATTGCCTACATCAGTGTATGATCTAACATCCTTGTGACTGTTAGGCAAATCCACTTGGAATATACAAGCATAACCTTAGTTTCTACTAATTTAAAAGCTAAGAACGTCATCAGGTCTATAGCAGATGTTTCCCTGCTTTCCTGAAAACTGCCTACCTGATGTTTTCATTGTTCTGTTACTATAAAAAGCTTGTGAAAGTTACTACATTGTAACATGGCATTTAGGGTAACTTAAATTTGTGTTATTAGGCCATGGTCACTCATATTTGGCTCCTGAATAAATTATGTTTTCTTCTTTGAAGCACAAACTGTGTTTTTAAACATTCACGAGCACTCAGGCCATGAATAGGGCAGGTAAGGGAGGTACAAGTCTAGACTATTACTTTACTTATACATATTTTTATTTATGTGGTATTTGTGAGTGTGTGTATATATATGTCACATGGAGGCAGGTGCCCACAGATGCCAAAAGAGGGTAACTGGATCCCCTAGAGCTATCACAGGCCTTCGCAAGCTGTTCAGTGTAGATGCTGGGAACTGAATGTGGGTCATCGGAAAGAGGAGCAAGCACTCCCAACCACTCAGCCATCTCTGCAGTGCTACAAATTCTGTTTTAAAAGTAAACTTGTTGCTTTGTTCACTGCGCTTTTTTAATTAATTTTGAATTAAAAAATAATGAATTAGGGGGCTGGGGAGATGGCTCAGGAGTTTAGACCACTTGTTGATCTTGCAGAGGACTAAGATTGGATTCCCAGCATGGACATAATGGCTCAGAACAATCTGTAACTCCACTTCCAGAGAATCTCATGCCTTCTTTTCATCTCAGTGGGCACCAGGTACATATATGGTACACATACATACAAACAGGCAAAACACTCATACACATAAACTTTAATCTAAAAAATGTTGCTCATTAAAAAATGTTGAAATAAAGTATTACCGGTTCTTTGTCAAAAGTTAAAAATAGCTTATACCACAGCACTCCTACTCCTAGGTGCACACTCAGAACTAAAAGCATATTCGCAACAAATATTTCCACATGATGATTTGTGGGAGCACTATTCACACATGATGATTTGTGGGAGCACTATTCACAACAGGCCAAAGGTGGAAACTAGCCAAAGGTCCATCGACAATGAACAAACTGCAGTGAACATAGACAACAGAATTTTATTGAGCTATAAGGAGGAATGCGACCATTTGGGTAAGCCTTGACAAGATTAAGGTCAGTGAAAGAAACCAGATACAAAAGATCACACGCGCCATACGGTTTCACTTGTACGAACTACTAGAGTAATAAAATCTATACAAAATGACTGGTAGCTGCTGAAGGGCTAAAGACAAAAATCAGAACAAAAGCTTCAGGTGGGCTGCGAAAGTCTAGGCTGAAAAGTTGACTTGACTGGTAAAGCATATGGTCGTCAGGACCCAGGACTTTTCTAATAGGAGGATGAGCATACCAGCCTGCTATCTACCACTTGAGCCTTCAGGGCACTGTTCTGCAGATGGAATCTGCCATCCCCAAAGTCCTCTTTTCTGTACCACATGCACACACAGTCCAAGGAGAGACTGATGTCTTTCAGTTGCTCTGGTTAAAGAATAATTCTGCTCATGTAGATGTTGGTCTGCACTTTCTTTTATTCCCACGTTCCCTCGATCAATCTGGATCTAACAGTTGCTAGGGAATGAGGAGTTACTACTAACAAGAACAGGGGTTAATTCTGGAGTCGCTATATTAAACTGAGAGTTGTACAGTCTCAGTGAATGCTACTGTACAATCCACTTTAAAATAGTTATTTTTGCTATAAAAATGCTAGCCAAGCATGTTTGGGCACAGCTTTAAGCCCAGCACTCGAGAGGCAAAGGCAGTTGTGAGTTTGAGGCCAGCCGGGTCTACAAAGTGAGTTTCAGGACAGCCAGGGCTATGTAGACAAACCTTGTCTCAAAAAAAAAAAAAAATTGCTGATGCAGGGCATAGTATCTCATACCTAAAATCCTAACACTTGGGAGGCTGAGGCCAGAGGATCACAGTGAGTTCAAGACTATATTAAGCTACACAGTGTTATCTCAAAAAGAAAAGGACAATAGTCACAAAAAACTGAAACAGCAAAAAGACATGAGGGGAACTTGTTGAGAAGAAGGCTTTCAGTAAGAATGCGAGGGGAGAGGGTGTTAAAGGGAGAAAATGACCAAACTTCATTCTGTACATGTAGAAGGTTGTCAAAAGAATAATAAAAATTCATTTTAATTAAAAATAAAAGGATTATTAAATTTTAAAATTAAAAACAATTGGTGTGTATGTGTGTGACGCAGGGGTCAGAAGACAACTTGTGGGAGCTGATTTGCTTCTTCCACTATGTGGGCTGAAGAGAAGGAACTCGACTCAACTTACCCTGATTCCCGAGTTTTCAGCTCTCCTTTACATTTTGTATCTGAGAAAACAGACTTACTTACAGCCCCATGTCTTGCACCTGCTAAATTTCACTTTTTAAAAATTTTATTTTTATTTTATATGCATTGGTGTTTTGCCTGCATGCATATTTGTGAGAGGGTGTCAAATCTTGGAATTACAGGCAGTTGTGAGCTGCCATGTGGGTGCTGGGAATTGAACCCGGATCCTCTGGAAAAACAGCAAGCATTCTACTGAGCCATCTCTAGCCCAAAATTTCACTTTTAACTGGAAATAAACAGAATGAGAAACTGAAGTCATCTTAACTCCCACATTAACATATACTTCATATCCAGCTAAAAGAATAACTCATTTTTAAACGCAAAATTGGTTATAGCACATGTCTGCCACCTTCCCCATACCATATTGGGAAGGCAAAGCTCCCCTGGTTCTTGCTCACCACTTTGACTTAACTATGTTCCGGACAAGACACAAAAACACTTTCTGCCCCCAGGATTGCTGCTGAATAACGTTTAATTAAGTACAGAAATGCATGAGTGCTACAGGCTGCCTCTAGAGGGAAAAGAAAAGAATCCCTTTGGTTCTGTTTCATGAAGTAAACATTTTCCGATTCCCTTTGAATCTTCATAGCCCGTGTCTAGGGAACAGAGTGGTGGTTTCTTCAGATAATTCTTTCATCTTAAGTATAATTACTTCAGAGGCTTTAAAAAGAAAAGGTAAGTATTAGTTACATCAAAAAGTAAATAATAAGCACCTTTAAAACCATCCCTGTTAATCTTTACAGCATTTTAGTTTGAGATCACCCCACTTATGACAACAGTAGCCTCAGATAAACAGAAAAATCTCCAGAGAGCTCATAGTAGAGTGATACAACTCTTTGTGGTTCTTGTTTAGTTTTGTAATTCTGGAAACTGAACTTGGGCCCCAGGCAAACCGGTCAGGCACGCTATCACTGAGCAACAGCCCCAGGTGAACAGAGCAGTGAACTCTTAACAAGTTTTCCAAAAGTTGTTGTTCCAACTAAATACTAGCATGCCCAACCCAAGGCCTGCCATAACCTTTAGGGTCATTCCAAGTGGCATTTGGCTCCAAGTATAAACTTAATAACACTATCCATGATGCTGTTCTCTCTTACAATATAAAATATAGTAACAGAGGAAATAAGCTGCCCTTGAACATCAATCCTGTGTCTAGCCTCTTCTTGCAAAGATACAATACTACCTTATAATTTTTATTTCTTGGACTTATTTATTTATTTATGTTTGAGTGTTTTGCCTACATGCATGTATATACACTGCATGTGTGCCTGGTGCTCTCAGAAGTCAGAAGTGGGTATCAGATCCCCTGGAACCAGAGTCACAGATGGTTGTAAACTCCATTACGGGTGCTGTGAACTGAACCCAGACCCCCTACAAGAGCCACAAGTACTCTTAACCACTGACTCATCTCTCCAAACTCAATCATATTTCATATTATACAAAACTAAGAGAATCTGCTCCAGTATGAGTGACCTACAACACATTTAGTAAGATGGTCTTTAGTTTTATTTTGTTGAACTTTATTTTTTGAAACTTTTAAAAGATTTATTTATTTCATTTTATGTCCTGAGTGCTTGCTTGTATGTATATTTGTTCACCATGCGCATGCCTGATGCCCACAGAGGCCAGAAGAAGACACCAGATGGCAGGGAATTGGAGAATAGTCGTGATAGTCATGGATCGGCATGAGCCGTGATGTGGGTGCTGGGAATCAAACTTGGGTCCTCTGACCAGCACTTTAAACAACTGAGCCATCTCTCTAGCTCCCTGCTTCAAATTTTATTTTTTACTAATATGTATTGTATAAATGTGTGTGTGTGTGTGTGTGTGTGTGTGTGAAAGAGAGAGAGAGAGAGAGAGAGAGAGAGAGAGAGAGAGAGAGAAGCACAGTTGTGCCACAGCATGTGTGAGAAGGTCAGAGGACAAATTACAAATTCCAGGAATCAGTTCTCTCCTCCCAACATGAGATCAAGTCATCAGGCTGGCACAGCAGGTGCTCTTACCCGCAGAGCCATCTCACTGGCCCAAGGGTATCATTTAAAAAGAAAAGGAAGAATTAGATAACATAAAAATCAGTGATTTTTAACTATGATTTGAGCTTTTCAGAAATGGATAACTGTAATTTATTCAGCAAGTGGGTTTGGGGGGGTTGTTTTTGTTTTTAAGATAGCATCTAATATAATCAAGTCACCGTGTACCTGAGGATTACTTTGAACTGCACTGCCTGAGTGTTGGCACTACAGACATGTAACATATACACACAATTAGCAGATAGTTTTTGTAAATAAAGTTGTAGTGGCACCCAGCCACATCCGCTTATTTCTATAAGGCCTAAGGCTGCTTTCTCGTTGCAGTGACAGAATAGCTGGGACAGCCCTTAGCAGAAAATACTATCTGGTGTTAACACAGTTTTTTCTGGTCAACTTCCAAAATAGAAGCTCTAACCAGTAATTTATAGATACTGATATGCTCATTCCTGGCCTCAGATGCATGCCCTCTCTCCCAAATACTATCTCTCGATAGCGCTGGGGCTAAATCTGGTCTGAGAAGGACCCTGCAAACCAAGTCCTGTAATGCTCCCATCTCTACCAAGATGCCAACTTCCTGTAAGACAAACAAATGATTCTCCAAAATGCTTTCTTACCTTTCAGGTGGCCCCTGTCATTCCTGAGGCAAAAAGAGCTTCAGTTGATTTCCAGTTCAGCTAGCTTTGCCTCTGAGAAGCTGTCATCGCTGACATCACTGTAGGCATCACTGTAACAGAGAAAAATCACTCACCAAGATGTTAAAAAGGCCACAAGTAATTAGTCAAGTTTTAGCTCCAAACCTGCTCCATAGTGAAGACCCATGTAGAAGAAATACTAAGTAATATTCTATGATTATTCTGTGGTCTAACCACAGGCACTGGTCCTTCTTTGCTCAAAGCACCTGATTACTTGCCTTTATTACAAGTCATAAGTTAGCTATTCAGAAAATTAAGGAAAGTGTTTCAAGGGTTGAAATGTATAAAGCACAGACGACAGTTCAGCTGTCCGTTTCCACAAAGCCTTGACTGCTCTGCTGCCTGCCCCTGTGCCTGTGGCTTGCTCTCTACTCAAGTTCTATCAACAATCTGATTTCATATGAAAGTCTGAAGCCAGGAGTGGTGGCTCACAGTTGCAATCCCAGAACTTATGAGGCTGAGGCAGGATTGCCAAAGAGTTCCAGGCCAACCGAGGCGACTGTAAAATTCTGTCTCCAAAAGGTCATGACAGCTGCAGGACAGATGCAGCTGAGACAGATGATCATAAGCAGAGAATTAACCCTGTCTCAGAAAGACATTTCTGTGTTTTATCATTTTGTAATTCGTATTATTTTACAGAAAATCAATAAAATCATGCATGTATATATGACATAAAAGAAGTAAAACTATCTAGGGGGATGAAAATGACTAATGGGAGGGAGGAGAAAAGAAAGGCGAGTGACGATACAAAGAGGAATACTTTCAGTATTTGATACATACTGATATATACTTCTAGGATAACCTTAAAATTTTGTTTAATTTTAAATATTTTGTAAAGAAAGAGGGCCACCATTATGGCTCAGCTGGTTAAAGCACTTTATGTAGAGCCTTAAGATCTGAGTCCAATACCCGGATCCCAAAAGTTGTCCTTTGACCTCCACTCTCCTCACTGTGGCAGACATGTATGCAAATACACCGCATGCATACACACACACACACACACACACACACACACACACACACGAAGACATTTTTGAAAGAAGTAAGGCAAGTGGAAATGTGGTCACTATGGACACATCTTGAAGGGGTTTCTGGGACTTCAGACCCTCGTCTCCCTTTCTGCCTCCTAGCCACCATAATATAATCGGTTTTCTTTTACCAATCGCTTCCCACCATGGTGTTCTGCCTTACCACAGACCCAAAGCAATGCAGCCAGAAGACCATAGCTAGAACCCTTTCAGACAAAACTTTTAAGGAAAAAAAAAAGCAGAATTGACAGATCCCTTCATTTTGTGCTAATCTAGATTAGAGACTAAATCTGTCTGAGGTTGAGTACCACGTTGCCTTGTACCTACTAAAGTCAATTTGTTCACAAGTGCATGAGCTATTAGTTCAATACTGGAGTTTTTTCATTTTTTTATCCCTCTGACAACAATCGTCTTCTTTAACAATGAGAGGGTTCAGGAACATTACTCCAAAATATGGCACCTTGGCATAGTGAACATTTTAAAGTAAAGGAATCTGAGGTGGTGTGACAGGGCAAGACAGTGCAGAGGTTCCTCCACCCCACACTCTTCATGAGACCATTTTGGGCTTGACTAGGATGTTATCTCCTTGATGGAAAATCCCATGGAAAATTACCTAAATCTATTGTAGGAACCCAAGGCCAAGATACCCCAGTTAATCTACCTTGGCTTCTGTTAAACAACTGCCTGCTTGTGCAAACCCCTCCCTCCATAACTGCTTATCTTAGTTTTTGTTAAGCTGCTTGCTTGTGCAAAACCTCCCTCTGCAGCTGCTGAGCAAGATAATCAGATGTGGCTTTTGCTTCCAAAAAAAAGCCACTTGCTCTAAAATCTCTGGGCCAAACTTGGGTCCTGAATACCTGAGAGCAGTCCCAGCAGCAGGAATAAAGACTTTCAATAGGCTATTAACTGCGTCTGAATGGCCTTCTCTGGTGGGCCCCCCAGAACGAAAGCATACACAGGAAGGTCTCTTGAACTTCCATCTGCCCTAAAGCAGGCGCTCTGACCCTCCCTGGAGCAGATCTTCAGACCCTGAAGTGAAAGAAGTAAAAAATAAAATAAAAAGCGACTGAACAAGCCAGCTTTGCTAAGTTCTCCCAGTTGATTGTCATGATAGCACATCCTCTTTGTCCACTTATATTTCCTCATGTTTCTCCTGCTGTTCATCAGCTGTGCTCTAATAGAAAACACTAAAGAGGTCAGTGAGATAGCTCAGCAGATAAAGTACCTGCTGTGCAAGCCTGAACACCCGCGTTCAATCTCCAGAAGCACCACATGAAAACTGAATGGAGAGAAACAACTCCATAAAGTTGTCCTCTGACATACACACACAGGGAGAGAGAGAGAGAGGGTGGAGAGAGTGAGGGAAGGAGAGAGAAATGAGGGAGATAGAGAGAGAGGAAGAGATGAAGGGAGACAGAGAGACAGAAGGAGAACAAACTAAGGGTTCTCTGGGTCTTCATTTCCTGAGAAAGACTGCCATGTTTTATGCCTGAGCCATCCCTAACTTTGGCCAAGCATTTGTTGACCCAAATAGCAATAAAATTCTGTATTCCTTAACAGGTGAAATTTTGCTTTTGTTCTTTTAAAAGAGGAAAAGCGCTGGAGAAGGTCTATGCAGACAGACTAGAAAACTCTCCTAGTCTACACTCACAGGGTGACAACGATTACGCAGATAGACCACATCATCCAAGTCTCCCTTTGTTTAGCCACTCTCCTTCTGGACTTTCAGCAGGGGCGTGGGAGCAGCAGACCAGAGAAAACAGGGAGTAAAAGGTTAAGAATTGGTCAGAAATAGGATATATGTTAGCTAAAGAAATAAAAAAAACACATATCCTTGTTATTATTAAAGTCAAATAACATCTCCCAGTTGTACTCTTTAGTTAGGGAAAAGCACTCGTACTGCTATATAATGACTGAAAGCTTCCTTTAGTAGTTGGTGTGTGTGTATGTGTGTGTGTGTGTGTTTGTGTTGTTTTTTTTTCAGATTGACCCAAGGGCTGGAGATGTAGTTCTGTTGAAAGAGTTCTTGCCTTCAATCCCTAGCCCTGCAAAAACTGGGCATGGAAGTCCATGCCTGTAATCTCACTATTCACAACGCTGGGAAAGGAAGATGGACCATGAATCTGAGGCCAGCCTAGACTCCGCAGTGAGTTCCAAGATATTGTGAGAGCCTATCTCAAAATTAACTAACTAATTAATTCAAAACACAAACAGCTACAACTTCATCAGAGATTAGTCAGAGATGTATAAATCTGGTCTGAAAATCACATAAAAATAAGCTTTTGCTATTCATGAAGGTTACATGTTCCTATGACATGCTCTCAAAACTTAGAGAAATATAGTCAGGAAAAACCATTAGGCATTTACGTTTCCAAATTATTTACTAAAAATAATTTTTAAATTAATTTAAAAAACAAAAATCAATGTAAGAATGAATTCTTTCTTGTACCAGGCAGAATTCCCCACCAGAGCCCTTAGATGGGTCGACGCTAGCCCACCAGCTCTCATTTTCTACCTGAAGGTCGTCTTCACCGAACTGCCAATGCATTAGAATGGAACAACCTGAGTCAAGCAAATTGAGGCTCAGCTTGAGTTTATTCATCTCTAAGGTTAATAATATTTCCTAAGTGTTCTGAGACTAGGTAGGACGATAAACAATGACACTCAAGAACAGAATTATCAGACTAGGCATTACTGCTAAACTTGCTGATTTAAAGCATTCATCTGGAAGCAAAAAACAAGTGATAGAAATAAAATATGGGTCACCAAACAAACATAAAACAACACCAGTTTCTGCAACAGACTAGAAAATGTGGTTGCCACTCTGGGACTTGTAGGGTTTAAGGGATCATTTTTCTTTCACACAAAACAAATTTAAAAGTCAGTCGTAAGCTAGATATGCACATAGACAGGCATATTTCACTTAAAACTATCACAGCTCCATTTTAAAATAACCCATCTTTTTAAATAATCTACACACACACAAACACACACACACACACACACACACACACACACACACACACACACACACTAGGATCTTTTGTTGCTGCTCTGCAATGTAGTCCACACAGCCTCAAACTCACAATCCTCCTGCCTCATCTTTGTGCATATGGGATTAAAGACCAGCAGTATGCCCAGCTAAATACTAGGGGTTTTCATGTTAAATTCTAATAAGTGTCACAAAACAGACACATATATCTCTTGTTACATTTTAGGAAGGCACAGTTTTAAAATTATTCAATATAAGTTCAAGTCACCATAGCTATCTAAATTTAAAACAATTAAGAGTCAAATGAAATTTAAAATTCCATTCCTTACTTATATTAGCGCTTCGCCATTTGTGGTTAATGACTGCCATTTTTGAATAGTGCAGATTATTGAACATTTCCATCATCTGAGAAAGTTTTAATGGGGAGTATTGATTTAAAACTAATGGGGCCAGCCAGATGGCTCAGCAGGTAAAGATGCCTGCCGCCAAGCCCAAGAACTTGAGTTCGATCCAAAGAACCCCTTGGTGAAAGGAAGAGAACTGACTTCTGAAAGTTGTTATCTCAACACACACACACACACACACACAAGTAGCATGCATGCAAAATAAAAATGTAATAAGTAAACTTAAAAAACAATAAATGATTAAAAATAAACTATAATCACTGTGGTAGTCATGATTATCATTATTTCCTCAAAAAATGTTTTTAATGGCTGTTCTATGTAGGTTAATTAAAATCCTAGCAAATATCTTTCATGCATGTGTCCTGCAAGTAGTGGAAACTCTCTTTTTAAAAAGTAGTTCGTGGAGCGCTCTCTCTCTCTCTCTCTCTCTCTCTCTCTCTCTCTCTCTCTCTCTCTCTCTCTGAGACAGGGTTTCTCTTTGTAGCCCTGGCTGTCCTGGAACATGCTGCACACCAGGCTGGCCTCAAACTCAGAGACGTGCCTGTTTCTACCTCCCAAGTGCTGTGATTATAGGTGTGTACCACCACTACCTGGCTCAAGTCAAACCA